AAATTTCACGGAAAAAACATTGCTCCACAAATAAAATGGTCAAATTCTGGCTATGAACATTGAACGTGCAATCCCTCACAAAAAAGTTGCTATAAGAAGAACAAAATGATGTTTTTTAAGGGAGTCACTGGCAAGGGCAAAACACTCGTGGTGTCGGTGCCAACGTAAAAGGTGCGAAAGACCTGTGCACAGAGGGCATAGTCAAGGACCTAACGAAAGCCTGTTCCAACTCCGCTTCCTGAAACAGCTCTTAGTCCTCCCAGCAGGATGGTACTCCAACACACGGAGTCGAACTCGCCCGGGACTGGTGTCGACGTTGGCTGCCCGAGTTCATTAGCAAAGAGGGATAGTCACCTTGCTCTCCAGACCTTAACTCACTCGACTCCTCCGTATGGTCCCTGGTTAGTAAAGGATCTGTCGGGTTTCCAATCCCGGTTCAGAGTCCTTGAAAGCAAGATTCAAAAAAGGCTGGGAGGAATTGGAGGATACCTACGTCAACATTCGAGGTGTTCAAGAGCAAAGTTTGCCCGTATCCACGCTTGGGGGATATTTTGAAATGCGACTGTAGCATGTTGTGGCATGTGACGTAAGCAAACTTGTAGATACCATTGTCATTACCAGCTGGGAAGCTTTAGGTGAGTTGCCATGAATTTTCGCCTATAATCGCCTATAATTTTGGGACACCTCAATTTTTTGTGATTCCAACAATTTCAAATGTGTATTGTAGGACAGCCTCGGAGCCTATGACATGAAGTAAGAACTTGGATTTCTGAGAACTCATTTCAATTCACAATTCAGACCAGAAGTTGAATGATGGGATTCTGAAGTACTTCACATTCAGACAAAGATTTTAATTTAAAGTCTCTTTAATACTTCCTAGGTAACTATTCGTAATTCCATTGGAACAGGGCTTTGAGAACATGAATGTGCCTCTGTCACGCTCTGCCACGCACTTGCGGGCTAGAACATATTTCAAACTGATTCTGAAGGTTGAAGAAGCTATCCGTGTCGCGGGATTGTCATAAGTCAGCAAATTGTTACAAGACCGGTTTGAATGGGTGAATCCACTGGTTCCCAAAGCGGGTGGTCCTTATTTTTCATTGTGTTGGTCAGATGCACATTTAAAAACGCCACTGTGATTCCAGTGGGAGCATCTGGAAAAGTATGCATTGTGAAGTTCCAGCTGTGATGGGAATTCTTGTGCTCCCTTGCTGTAGAGCTAGAAAAAAGGATCAAATGCTCGTTTGAAGTATGATTCGAAGCAATGTAGGTGAAAGGATGAATTCAACGTAGGACGCATGACCCTAGTGATCAATGAAAAACACCTTCTCTCACCTTGTTCAATTTGCTGTTCGTGAGCAATGCGTAGCCTTTCACATGCGGTGCAATTAATTCATGACGGTAAATTTTGTTTAAAGCCACAGCTTTTGGGTTTGATGTATCAGTCGTAATTTTTCGCAAACGGCACGCTGTCGTTGACGAGATGGCTCGGGCATGCTTTGTTCCGGCGAGAAACCTATAAAGTGCCAACATGTGCATACACTGTCAAAGGTGCCCTCCATATTTTTCCAATAGTTAGTAGTGATAAACTGGCTTGTTCGAATCTACGTAATACACGTCTACTGAGCGTTCTACTGCTGCGAAAATTCATCAGCGATTGAGATGACTCTTTTAACAGATTAATAATCTTTTAATAACTCACGAACTGCTCTTCACTGTGTGGTGCATTCCCGAATTCCTAAACAGCTATGTTTCAAAACCATTACGAGCTAAGTTTTATGATTTTTTTTATTGAGCACGTCGGCTCACGCAATAGCTTGCATTTGAGCCACTCAGAAATGCTTAAGAGGTGGTTCTGGGCTGACTTTACGAAATCTTTCTTCCTTGCTTTAGGATGGCGAAGCTAGCTAGCTGGGATATACAGATGCAAAAGCCTAACAAGAACTTCAACTAAGGTACCTTGCCCGTGGTGAAAATAGTAACGGGGATTCAATGTTCTCTGCGGAAATTCCAGAGATACAAAAGGCCGCTTAAACGGAGAAAGGCTAATGATCTGTTTCTTTCACTGAACGTTTGCATTGAGGGCGTAGTTTGAGTATCTGGTGATGCAATCTAGAAAGATCAAGAATGACCCTATCAAACTGACCGAGACTAAATGTTAACACCCATTATCTATTATCGGCCAGTTTGATGCCATGTCCGGAGGATTATCCTCGCTCAAGGGACAGGAGACATACCGTTACCCTCGTTGAGAGCGGAAGTTATTAAATAAGGTAAGCGAGAACGATCCACTGGACTACTCTAACTCGCGACAGTGATGAATGGAGACGATAATGATGCCAGTTCGAGGAAACCGTTGATGAACGGGGTTACATTCGCAATCCAGAGAAGAAATCTTGTGAATGTTAGTCCTTGCAAAGCATTGCTTCTAGTTGGTGTGGACGCCTATTTAGGCAGATGATATATGCGCTGACGAAGCTGAAAGCGAAGCTTTGCTTGGATCATTACTCCTCATAATTTGACCTATTTCTTTCAAAGAATCTGCTTTCAGACTTACACAGTCACTCGCAACCTCCTTCAGCATTTTTGATGCGATTTAGCTACCACTATTCTCAAGTACTACCTCGTGAACCGTTTGTGGTGTTACTCATTGAACGTACCCAGCACGGAATGCAGTGGTTGTGCAGTGGTTGCACCAATCAATCTTTACTCTATGTCCCATCTTTCACATGGGCATTGTCAAGTTCTAATCGAAACCACGATGACAGCATTTGCCACGAAGGATTCTGTGTCTACTCTGAACAATGCGGAGCCACTCACAAATACTAGCACAAGCGAGTTCCTGAATGATCGACGTCTGCTTTCCAGTCGGGAGGCACATAAAATGAGAATCACTACTGACCAACCCTCAGAATCAGTTTTTGATAATGTTTCCCGTGCGCTAACCACTCAAGATTGTAATCCAACTCTTGATAAGCAAAAGGTCGATGATATAATGTGTGAAACGTTAGGCTTTCATCACAAAAAAAACTCGCTGCCAGGTACTAAACGTGGGTTGGCAGGGAGAAAGACTGCTTTATGACCCTTTGTGCATACGTTTATGCGAAAGATCATGGGATGCTGAACATACAGCTTACAAAACCTTGTGGGGCAGGAGTTCATTAAAGCGTATTAATATTGGTGGATATCGTAAAGTTGAGGTACTTATTAATGCTTTACTGCTTAGGTTCTCATGTAACTTCCGATCCTCTACTTATTTGAATGCTTTACTGTTAAAGAGACCAAAATAGTTGTGCATCTATTCAGTCACGGTTATCGGTGTGTTTGAATTGGTGTGCACATGTGTATGTGTATATGTGTGTCGTTCGTTATCCATCTATTCAGTCACCGTTATCGGTGTGCTTGTGTTGGTGTGCACATGTGTATGTGTATGTGTGTGTCGTTTGTTTGACTGGAATTCATATTCCTTCCTCTGAACCTGGAGCATTTAAATTTGCAAGGGGTTCGATTTGTGAACACTAATAGCAGGTTACAAGAAGTGATAAGAGTAGATAGAGACTGATAAGAAACTCTAGAAGGCGAAAATAGCAGAATCCGTCACGTCCTTTGTATCAACAGTGGAACCTTGGCAGGTGGTTAAAGGATGTAGAGTACAAAGTGACCGCTGGTTTCAGCTAATAAGAACTGATAGCAACTGCTAGGGGATGATAAAGATTCAATAGAAGGTAGGAGTCACCGAAAAGGTTACGCTTTCCCTGACAACAATGTAAAATTGACTCTCGTTGGACGATGTGAGGTGTGACGGGATCATGGATGTCGATTGCAGGAAGTGATGTCAAGTGGCTTTTGAAGGCAACAGCCACTTGATGAGTTGCGCTTACATGTTGGTAACAGAGTGTGATAGCAATTGATAGGGCTGATAATGAGGATTAGTGTATTAAATCCTGAGGTTCCTTCCCTATTTCGAATTTCGAGTATGTCTTATGGTGTGTGATTGGTTTGAAGAAGGTGACATGAACTTTTAGCAGATGGTTATTACTAAGGATGATACTAGTTGTTAAGTCTTTTCCACATTCCATATGATGGTTAGCCGTCGTGCTTGATCACACTACATTCGAAACGTAGGTGATTGGGGAAAGTAACGATAGGTGATGAGAGTAGATAAGGAAATTAAGAAGGTGGGAACACTGAGTATGTTATGCACTGTCTTGACGACAAAAATTGGGACTTCAATGGGTATTTGAAGAGACGCATGGAATGTTGGAGATGGAAAATTGATGTATTAATTGATAACAACTTACTTCGGCTAATCTATGGGCTTATCCGTTCGATGTCGATAAGAGTGGATTCGAGGGATAACTACGTAATCGTTCAATTCATTTTGTCATTTATCAGTAGCTTTAGTAGGTAAAATTTCCGGCATCTATTGACTGAGTATGTTGTGAACTATAGAAGCGTCGCTGATCAAAACAAAGGGTAGAATAGAAGAAGTAGTACATGCCATTGATCGGGATTGTAATGAGCAGGAGAACCATACACTTCTTTGGATGTGCTGTGAACAGGAATGAATCGTTCATACTTGAGCTGTCCGACTGTTTCTGCTACACCTCTATCGAACGCATTCCTGATCATTGCTTAGGTGAACTTTTGTGATCGATCATACGGGGAGTGATGTGGAAATAAGACGGGCAACCAATAATCGACAAGCCTACAAACAGATAAAACGCTTAACATGGTTCATAAAGAGGCACGATCAAGTCGCACAATAGAAATTTATCGGAAGAGCTGGCCTTCATTCACTAATTCGGTCTACTTGCAAGAGAGAAGATAACATTCCCGGAAACACATTTATTTATAGCTGTCTTTACCAGAAATCAATGCTGAATATAAAATTAAAGGAAACACTGTTGACAGTGCTCGAACCAGATTACGTTTTAACCAAAGTGCCGCGCGTATTGAGGATAAGAAAAGAGCATTCGAAATGTTTCTAAAACGCTGGTCTACTTGTCGTTCATCGAAGTTGAGTCAAGTTCGGGTACTGGGATAGCACACACTTTACAAGCTTCCTCTGGCCATTCCCACTCTTTGTTGATGAAATCTTCGTATGATGTATCGTACAGCTGATGACGAACATACATTTCCTAAAGCAACTTCTTCAACTTCGTCTTAATTTCCCAGTGTTTCGCTTACCAGATCGTCTGGTTTCGGATAGAGGGTCGCGAGATTCTCGTTGAAAAAGTACTCACCAACCTGAAAAAAACTGGTCATCTTACGTAAAGTGAGAACTGATTTTGAGTTGTGTATTAGTATAACATAAAGGAGTATGATGACGTTTGCAAAAATTGCATTTCAAATGCTGCCGTATCTCAAACTACTCATCTCTCACTAAACTTCAATTTTATTTCTTTCGGCTGGCTAAATTCACGCCTTCTACAACAGGAGCTGCAGGCAAAGGTACTTACATATGCGAGACCATTTTTCGATGCATCATGTTGAAATCAGTTGAGGCAAACACTCGCCCCTGTTTGATGACTGGCTTGCTTAAACATGCTGACATTCTACTCTGACATCCGATTATCTCGCACTTTTTGCACACACACGGCCGAACTTATGGTTAGCATGGTGGCCACAAAGTGGGTCAATTGTTTTGTGTAAAGGAGTGATCCTCAGAGCATCACAAAGGAACATGGTTCAGAACCTCTTTACTGAAAGTTCATTACATGGTGAATTAACTCTTTTCATCCTATAGATATGAGACATCCATTTTTTTGCTATCAACATCACCAAATTGAAAAAAGCGCTCAAAAAAAAAAAGAATTAATATAATACTAGTGAAGAGTGAAACAAATGGAATAAGACACTGTCGAATCGTCATTTCAATGTCTTCGTACTTTGCTACTATCGTTCAAACATTTCAGTTGCGGCAACTCACAGCCTCGATCAGACATGTGTCCTTTCTTAGTTTGGCTACGTATTATTTATAATTACATTGTCGCCGGCATTCTTCCACGAGGTCTAACACCCTGACGACCGCATGGCCCGCCGACCGGCCACACCATGTCGTATGCTACTGCGACATTGTGGCCCGTCGACTGGTGCGGTAGTACTTACATTACTTATTATACATTTTTATATTTTTTGAGCCTTCAACTAAAGGCTAGGCTCACGGCCTCCCAGAGAATCTTGAGGCACTGCAGTCAAAAAATCGTTCTTTTCCAACTATAGTCGTGAGGGAAAAAAAGTTATGTAAGGACAATATTAATAGAAGCGAATTCATATTAATTAGTCAGTTGCACAAGCTTACTGTAATGATTCAGGGCAAAACTCAAAAAAATTTTGTGGCACTCGGTGCATTTTGAAGAGAAATCCACTTCTTGAGTATAGACTGTTTCATCATACTATGCTGGGTCTAGATCCCATGCGCCACGAGGGTTCTGGATTTTACATCGTAGCACGTACGTTTTTTGATTAAGTTATCACTTCTCCGTGACATTTGAGTGGAATTTTATCTCATGGAAGGGACGCGTAAAAAATGCGGATGCTCTTGAAACTGTG